ACGAGTAGTTTTTGCGTAATGTGGGCTTAAAATTTACAATTTTTTTCTTTCAAACTGCTCCAAGTTTTTTCTTTAAATTTTCCCCACATATGTAATAAAGGACGGTAAGAAATATGGTACTAGTCCCATTTTGCGGGCATTGCTCGTATTTTTTTTAAATGCAAAAACATTTCAAAATTGCAAATTTTAAACTACAAATTATTTTTTTTGTGTCAGGCAAAGTTTGTTGTACAAAATTAGCTATTTAAATAAATAAACTAGTGGTGCTTTAGAATGCTCACCCTAGTTAGTTTTTTATTCTTTCTATTCTTGACCAGCTTTTCTGATAGGCGTCATTGTCTTCTCGGTTGTTTTCTTTCATCGCCCGAAAAACAAACATTTTTCACATTTTCTTAATTCCTCAGCTTCGTAATGCTAGAACTGAAACCACCATACACGTATTACTATTATAGAAGTATTCATTGCACATCGTAACTGGATAGCTGTAGGCATTTAATATTCAACTAATAAAAATCATAAGTAATATTTTTTTTATTTTTCTTAACCTTCCGATGGGTGTGCCTTTGATACAATAGCGAGTGCGTATAGCATCTTCTTAAAATTCTAATTTGATTATTTTTGCAATAACTATAAAAAAAGGTATAGTAATCATTTTTGAAATTTTATTTACCATTAGGTAATATATGCCTACATCATACAATTACTTTTTTTCAAAAATATCCTTAACATTCAGCAGATAGTTTATCACGTATTCAAAATTATTTTATACCACTTTCATTAAGTAAAGAATTGCCATTTCTGTCAATTTTCTTTAGCAAGGGTTGTTTGTATAGAGTTTTGATACTGCTTTTAAATAACAGTGCTTGCAATGACCAAAATTACCAAAGGGACTAATAGGACCAAAAGCAACAAAGGGAAAAAAGGACAAAAATGACAAAAGGGCAAACATTTCAGAATCAATTTCTTCAAATTCTAACGAAGGTATAAATGTCTCGAATTCAAGCAGCATTACATTCAGAGGAAAGCTAAAAAAATTATAACTTTAATATATCTGTACCAAAACAATTTGTTTGCTGCTTAGCCCAAGAGCCGAGTATGATACATTGAATAATATTGACATTGTTTAGGAAACTTGATTGATAAAAGAATACATTGAGTACATGGACACGTTAAGTAGATTTAATAAATAATTGTTTGTGAATTAAATGTGCGATGCAATCCTAATGGTCACGAAGGGTCAAATAACTGTCACTTAGTTTCCACTTTAGTCTATTGTGATAAGGCGCTCTTAATTAGTTGTTTAGCTGGTTGGTTGCTAAGGAGCTAAGTGAGTGTTTATCCATGAAAAAATAAATTAATATAGGGTTTGGACCATATGACCATTAAAGCCTTAATTCCTTGAATCTACCTAAGATTGATCCTATATTGTCCAAACTTATGTGAAATTTACATCTATCTATATATGTAAATAAATTTATTTTTAAAAGCTGTCAAAAGAATGTGTGGTTTTCCTATTGGATAATAAAATTTGTCTTTATCGACATAAAATTACTTTTAAGTTTCAAAAATGGTACTAAAGATGGAGAGTATTAACAATTACACACCTAATTGTTTTTACAAACTATAAAAGAAAAGAGTAAGTATGTAAATTAATATTTAAAAGAAGGTTAATTTTAAAACTTTTCATTTTCAGCTAAAAAGCTTCTGACAGTTATGTGTGACACATACTTACCATCCATCATCCACAAGTCCCAATTGTCAGGTGTGAATTTATGTTATCTCCTGGCCGTAACAAATCTTATTCTATCTTTGGAACAGCATTAATGTACTTTTATCCTAACATGTGTGGGAAGTTATGTCTCAAAAAACCTTTAACTGATTTTAGGTGTGAAAATTCAAGAACGTGTTGTTAAGGTGAATCCAATACTTTTCCACACTAAACAATAGTTAAAAACAGTCTCCTGAAATTTTATGTTTCAGTGTGTAAAATTTTATATTACAGTTGCTTTACTTTTAATGTAACTTCAACTGTACATTTAAAAGAGTTGCTCCATATATTGTAATATACAAGGTTATTTATGTAATAAATTTTTTAATAGGATAACTTAATTAGTTGTCATAGTTTAATAAGGTTGTTAAATGTTTACCAAGTATATTCTAGTTAATTCATTTGATAAAATGAATATGATTCTTTCTGTGTCATATAAAACTTTCTATGCTTTATATCTCTATTAACATTCAAAAACCAAGTGTCTGTAAATTCTTTCTCAATTAGTGAACAAACGTTACACAGGATCTAAAATAGAAAAATTGCTCAGGGTAACTACGTACATAAAGTCAATCATCAAAGTTTGTATCAGATCTGGATAACTGAGGTTGCTAAGGCTGAAGGGCCATGGCTACCTTGTCTTGAAGGGTCTATCACACCCCGACACGTGTTCTCCTTAGAGTTACACCAATCTTAAAAAATGGAAAGTGATTGTTATATGACCAAGCCGTTAAGAAGCAAGTTTGTATCTGTAACAGATATAAGAAAAATAGATCACATTTTAAAGCAAAATTTATGCTGTATTCAATATGCAAAACACTAGACAGAGACACTTCTTAAACTGAATATTCAAGGAATATCAGGCAGAATACTCATATTAATGTATACATGATTCATATTCATGTATCATTCATACATACGTGTTTCACCATACAATCAGAACTCAAGACAAGTAAGGTATCATATGAAATCATATGATATATTTGTTTCTTTATTTTCCTAGGTTAAAACTCAAAAGAGGTTTTAAGAGGGATTAAGTAGTTAATGATACCCCTTGTACTCAGAAACCACAAAAACTGAACTTTAATTCAAGCTACCTTCTTAGGTACTACTGATCTTTTCAATTGAATATTAAAATTTTGACTTTTTGACTCAAAAGTTATTATGATTGTGATGTCATGTAAGTAACTTAGATGTTTCTACCATGAAGAATGAAAAATCTATAAAATATTTATATATTTTGGCCTTTTCATTTTTTGGAGAATTGATCTGAGCTCCAAAGACAAAAAAAATTGTGTTCATATAATTGAGTATATAAGGTATGGAACAGTATTTTTTTTAAATGTTTGTAATAAAAAAACCATATAACCCTGTAATTATATGGGTCAATTTTTCTACATTCCAATCATTATTTAGAGGAGTCTCGGGTATCATATCTATTCAATAGTACCAACTGAATTGCACTTCTTTTTATCATCCCAATCCAATGTTGCCAAAGATGCTCATTGCTACTTTAATTCATAATTCAACTTAAGACTATCAAAGTAAAAGAGAGCGGGTAGGGATTCCGAAGCTCAAAAAAACTTCCTAAGATGACACAACTCCTGCATGTCACATGCAGGTTTTATTCGTGATTGGTATTAAATAAATAAAAATCATATTATTATATATTGAATTCATGACCAAGTCAATATTACAGCACCAGGATGTAAGTTTTATATTTTATTACTACATTTTGTGGGTGCTTTAACACCCTACCTGTTCAGGTATGTCAATTTTGTACAATGTTCTACAATGTACAATACAATGTAAACCACCGACAAAATTTTGTAATAAAATAAAAAAGAATTATCATCCTGGTGTCATAATTAACTTACCCTCTATGGTTCTGAATTCCATATAGAATATTAGTCAAAAGCTTTCAGGAAAATTTTATAACATTTTTAATCATATTAATTACACAGGCCTGAAAAATATTTCTCTATGGTATAAAATTATGCAGTATCTAAGTCTAATTTTTTTTCTTCTTTCTCGTTTTTTTTCTAGCTGATGTTTCATGACCATGCTGTTAAATCATTTAACTCTACATAACATAATCAAATGCCCCAATTTTAAACTTCTGAAAGTTAATAGTAAATTGTTAAAAATAAAAATATACAATAAGGGGAAACATTTCTTCTCTTTGCCAAAAGTCAATGTTGCATAGTAAACAAAAGACTGCCAAATCTTACTATTTAGTAATCCAATAGTTGGTCATTGCACGATTGTTAACATGGTCAATACGCTGGTTGGTTCTAATGCAAATTTGGGAGTTTTTGAAATAGCCTCTCCCCCCCCCCCCCCCCCCCCCAGCAATATTTGCTTCCATAAATAATTATGAAATGCTTGAGACAACCTCTCGTTTACGATAAGTAAAAATAAATTATATAACAGAACAAACAAGTTGTATTAATTTTATTTGTCTTATATATTAAAATTTATGATAATTTAAGTTAGAATTAATAAATAAATAAATAAATTAGTTGGTGTTGTGGAATGCCCCCAACAATAAGATTATGCACATTTTTTTTAGTGAAGAAAGGATGCACAGGTAAGAATATTTATAACAAGTCATACATAGGTAATTGTGAATGATCCATCGGCGAGAGTCTACTGTGCCAATTTATGGTAATTGGATTCTAAAATATTCTAGAGATAAGTTTTGAATATTTTCTTTGTAATCTAACAATTTTAATCAAAATACGATTAATGAAAAAGTGTGTCCATTTATTGTAATCGTTTATACATTATAACTTATTAATATATTTAATTTGTTAAAATTTTCATATTTTAGTGAAAGACTGAATAAAAGAAATTATTTCAGAAAATGCTGAATTAAAAACAAAATATCAGCTTTACATAACACTAACACCCCCTACCCTTAACTGCTACCCTGCTGCCTCAAACTCCCTCCCCCTCTTCGGGATTGGATATTTTATGGTCAATCTCCAATGGATAATAGGAAGAATCAATAAAATTAACAAAAATGCCATTTTCTGACAAAATCTAGAATCAGTGAAGAGAACTGTGTTTGAACTACCTGATATTCTTTGGTAATGTTGAAGGTAGCATTGAAATGAAGGTATGAAGAATTGACAATATAAAGTAAACTTATTGTATTGTTTTTTGTTTTATTATTATTATTATTATTATTATTATTATTATTATTATTATTATTATTATTATTTCATTTTATTTTTTACTTTCAGATGCTTAGAATTGACATTTAATAATGACCTAGTGATTTAAAAACATAGTCAAAATGTTAATTTTTTTAATAAAACACAAAGAATAAGACCACTTTAAAAAATGACACGTTCCAAATACTTTGCAGATTTAAACTCAGTCCACCAAACTGAAGCCTTATCATCTGTTCAATCTCATTCTGAAAAACCATAAAAGCCATTGTCATCAATTACAAGTTATAATGGAAAAATTATTATTGGAAATTTATATTTATTACACAAATCACTATTAACATGAACATTTTTCAGACAAGGTGAATCAGAAAGCCATTTGGCCTTGGAGCTTCTGACTCATCAGGTTTGAATTAATATTCTTATTTATTGGACTAGTAATCTGCAGCAGCAAAAATGCAGCTGAACAAGAACACAAAATGTTTTTCCAAAAAGTAACATGCTTTGTGGTCTACTCTCTTATAAAATTGCAATAAATTGAATATTTTAACCAAATGAGTCTTCACAAATACTGCTGCACAATATATCTGTATAGTATATACGGATACAATGTACAACAGTACTTCATCAATCAAGAATATCAAAAAAATTGTTATTTCTTAACACTATATGTGAATAGCAATAATTTGATGGTAAGCAGCCTCTTTCTTGGAACTTTGCTATTGCTGGTGATGTTAGCCTGATATTGCAGAGCAGTGACGCACAGAGTATGGTTCAAAACTAATTTAATTGGTGTGCACAGAATTAGAATTGATAGAGTAAACAATCAAATGTTCACATTTTTTCACTCAAAATCTAAATATTCACATTCCATTTTAAGGATTTTTCCTGAGATCCTGGGTATTTTAGGAAAACATAGACACCTTTCACATGGCTGGAGGCTGAATAGTTTTGTTTCAATTTCTGGGTGCATTAGAAATTAGTAATAAAGAGTGTTGTGTTAAAAAGATGTTGATCAAAATACTTCATAAAAATAGTTTAAGTTATATCAACTGACACTCTCAATGTCCTTCTTTCTTCTTTCTTGATAGTCAAACATGTATGCATTTTGAAGAATGGAAGCCAAGGTCATCTTTCAACATCACTTTTGATGGTAAAATGTACTCACAATATTCCCTCTCTACAGTACAATTAACTTGTTGGTTAGTCATATAGGTTAATCAGAAGAATCTGAAGAACATGTATGGCTTCTTGCCCCATTTAGTTTTTAGTAGCTTGTTTTGTAATTTGATTTGTTCATATTTTATGAATTTTGACCTTAACAACATTCATATTTCTTGTTATTTAATATAATATGCTTTTGCTTGTTCATGGTACAATTTTTTTAAATTATTAAATTATTTGTCAATATTCAGAGGAACACATTTCATTAAACTATAGTTTACTAGGATATCATTAAAATAAGCAAGTGCACCTTGCTTCTCCTCATTATAAAACAAAGAGTATTCTTCTTAAAATTCTCAATCCCATTTCTGGGTAGCAGATACATACAACAATAATTCACAGTACTCACCAACATTGTTACTCCTAGAGACTAAAATAAACTGCATGCTAAAACAAGCAGTTATTGCTTTCTTGTGAAAAAAACAACAACATGAACATCCAATATTCACTCATGCTTCGGAGAACTTGCATTGAAATCATCATTGACAAGCAAATCATCATTGTCATTGTCATCATCAAGATCACAAAGATAAAATTAGACTTATTATATATTTGAGGGCGAAATATTTGTTTGTTCAATATACTTCTTATGAATATGTTGTACTGAATATCATTCTTGACAGATTCAGACAACAGTCCAAGTTGATTATATTTTTGGGAACATTGATAATGAATTTATATAAGAAAAAAATGGTGATTGTTAAAAAGTAAATGATATGAAAAAAATAATGTTCCGTGGTGTAAATGATAATCCATTTGTTTGTTTTTCAATATTTATGACAAGATACGTTTTCAGAGACTTCAACTTATCAATTATCAAATTACTTGTCAATATTCAGAGGAACTCATTTTATTAAATGAAGCAATATAAGTTAACAATTCATATCAACTTTCCTCTTTGACTATGGAAAGTTTATAGGCTATTAAATATACAGTATAATTACTACCACACCTTTCTTCTCACACTTTATTGTTAGAAATTATTTAATGAAACTAAGTCTTATTTGACATACTATTGCATGTAATAGTACTTGGGGCTATACTTATTTCTCTATCATACTATATAATAGGCTGACAACTGTAGTATCACATCAACGAAACTTATGTAAGATTCTTTCTTTCAAACTGATTCCTGTTAAGGTGACCCAATGATTATAACCACAGAGATAATCTTCTCTGGGATATAACAAGACCATGTAGATTTCTATGTATTGTACAATTAATGTAGTTTACCAAAGCAACTTGCTACTCCCAAACACTGCCCTTAAAACTTCATCAGATCTACTTCCGTACTCTTGGTTTTCTTTGCTCCCAGTATTCAAACTTCTGCACTGTACTTCAACATTACTTTTGGTGCAATGTTACCAATTCTCATAACAATTTCTTTTCTCATATGTCCACAAAGCCTTTCCATTATTAAGCTGTTTCTATTACATTTTCCAATATTTTCTTCCACATCCTTCTTATTTTATCCAATTGATTGTTTCTTTCCAATTCCCCATTTGTGAACACAAAATAAACAATTATTTGATATGGTCAATGAAAAATGCAATACTTTAAATTCCATACAAATGTGTTGATTTATTGCAGACTTTTGTGGACTATCACTCAGTACCTGAATCCCTGTTTCACATTTCTTGACATTATAAAAAGGGTATTTTAATTACAATGAATAATTTTATAGAGATATAAAAACAGTAATGCATTTGACATATATTTTTAATAATTGTTAAAGAAATGAAATATTTCTCTTCATACATTTTGAGCAAATTTCTTATTTGGAAGATAACAATTTCACAATAAAATGTACACGTTCCTTTTACCAAAGGCAATATTTTAAGAACAATATTGTTACAATCTTTCTTCACTAAGCTGGATTTATATTCAGGCTCATTGCCCACCAGATAATGATGCCAAATTTTTCAATACATGAATATTAAAAAATAAGGAAAATGAAATATACAGGATTAATGCTTATATATTACAAAATGTATGCTATGAATTACTTTTACGTCAAATACAGTTTTTTAAATAAAGAAACAGAGAGACAAGTTTTCTTGCATTGTAATGTAATTTAACTAATTGTCTAACTTTAAACAGGTATTATTTTATGGATGACCTTGAAGTTCTATTAGTCTACGTCTATTTCAGCTGATTCAATTTTTTTGCTCATCACCAATAAATAAATATATTGATAAATAAAAATATTAAATAATGAATCTTGACTAATAATGAATTAAGTATTGAATATTGCCTAATTTATCCACAAGGACATTTTTTCCATAAAAAATATTAATCATTTCTGGATCATTCAGTGCTAATGATCACTTCATTCAAATAGATATCTTCTCTTTTCGCTATTTAAAACATGGGCAAGTTACATTTATGGAATTAAATTTGTATAGTAAAGAACAACAAGGAAGACGTAAAAGTAAATGGGTCCTGTCAGGAAATTGAAAGAACTTGGCATCACACACACATCTATCACAACATGTTTTGTGTACTTCCAAATTATATTCTTACGTTAAATTTCAATTCAATTTTTAATTTTATTACTTTTACCAATGTAGGAAATATGAACAAATTTTATTATTTGATCCATTGTTGATAGTTTTGATTTCATATATTTCATAAATGTATGAAGTCATCAATTTTTATACGAGTAGGTGAGCTTTAAGTGTCCCAAAATATAAATCTTGCCCTGATATTAATTGTAACAGTCCTTTTTTTGAAAACATTAGTTATTTTTACATAACAGTCAAATCAAAGATATTAATCCCAACATGAATAAATTTAAAACAATATGTAGCAATTGTAAAGAAAAGATTAATTTAACTTACAATTTCAAAATCTTTGAAATTTCATTAAATGATTTGAATTTATTTTGTCTATACAAATGTTTTTTCTACTATAAAAAGGCAAACAACTGAACATTCTCTTTTAAACTTTCATGTATTAATGAAAAAGAAAAGTAATAAATAGATTCTCTTTGAATAGACAATACAACTAAAATTTCATTGTGGTAGAATTAAGAAGTACAAGGCTGAGAATACTCATATTGCTTATGTTTAATTTACCCTGCAATTTCCTTTTCTCCTTGAAACAATTTGATTATTTACTTGGATGGAAATAAATCCACAATTGCAATACGAAAATAGCTTAGAAAGTGTAAAGTGGAATGCATCATATCAATACAAATTAAAATGTAGAAATTACAAACTATTTTCACAGATTCATGGAATAAACACTGAGACTCACTATCTCTCATACAGATCATTCAACAACTGTGCATAAAAAATGTGCACTATTACAATAAAAAGTTCATAAACACTCTCAGGAACAAGAGTAGAAAACAGCTCACATGCTCACAATATGTACACTGTTCTGCATAGAGCAATGCAAGAGAATTTACATATTGAGTATGTTGCAGATAAAACTTATTATTAGAAGTTATTCCCTATCTCTCTTGGCATTTATGCAGCAGGTTGATCTTCTAAAACACACATAAACGTTCTAGCACACAAAAGGTTGAGAGTTTCTGAAAATAAAAAAGAAACAAAGGAACATTAGAAAACCAATATAGTACTAAGATTTACATCATAAATAAACACTAAATATAAGATCTTAAATCTTGAAATACATGAACCTACCTGAAGCTTTCTCTATCCACCGGGGTTTATTTTGCCAATATATAAATATGAAATACATAGGAATTCCTGATACAATCATTATCAGGCCAACACTGACTTCCCATGGACTAACGTAACATGGGAAAGTAACCAGGAACAAACATATTATGAAGAAAATTATTGGGAAGATAATATTGATCTAAAAAGAAAATGAATTTAGTGGTTTAAAACAAATACATAATATCTTAAAAGAAGAATAAAAATGATGAAATATTACAAAATCATTTTCCAAAAAATAGTTCACATACCTTGATCGGTCTTTCCATATCAGGTTTTCTGAATCGAAGCCACAAAAGACCAGATACAGAAAAGGTTGTAAACAGTCCCTCAACAAAACTCAAGTAATTTATCAATACATAAACATCTTTGATGATAAGCAGCACCAATGTTATTATACACTAAAACAAAATAATTTTAGTTGAAAATCCTTCCATGTAGATGTTTTTATAGAAATTGTCTTTTTTATATTAAAATAATGTTTTATTTACCAAAAACACTAATGATGGAATAGGAGTAAATCTTTTCACGTTAATAAGTGCAATTGCTTGGGGAAGATGACCCTGACGAGCACCAACAAAAAATAGACGAGAAGAAGCAAAAATTGCACCATTCAAAGCACCAAAGGTTGAACAAGCAACAGAGAATGGCATTATCCATGACATGACACCAAGCATTTTCTCTCCAAAGGTCTAAAGAAATATAAAAGGCATATTAAAAGAGTTCATTCTTAGTGTTTCATATTATGTTAATTTGTCACATGTTCACTCACCACAGCAACAGCACTAGATGATAACAATTCATCCTGAGACAGAACTGCTACATAGGCAATATTTGCCAGAACATATATGATAGTGACAGTTGGCATAGAGATCCAAATTGCCCTTGGAAGATTTCTAGAAGATTAACAATAATATCCCTTTTAGAAGAAAATGGTTTTTAAAGAAGTATAGAGTATATAATTTAAGAGGCATCTTTTGTTTTATATAAAAACACAGATTAAGGAAAATGTACCTGTAAGGATCTTTCAGTTCTTCTGTAACAAAATTCAAGTAGTTCCTGAAATATTTGAATAATTCTTAAAATTAATTTTTTTTCGTTGCAAATTTCAAAAGAAATTGCATAAAACACTTATACACTATTCATTAATGCTAGTATTTACTAATATTTTAATAAACAAAAAGAAGAGGTATTTGAGATAGTAAAAATATTATTTAGAAATAATATACATCTGGTTCAACAGAAAAATAATCAAACAATATTTTGAGCCACAAAATGTATGTTATTTGGTGCTCTTGGCTCTTGTACTAATAGGAGAGTACAAGTTAGATTATAATTTTTGAATGTTTTATTTGTAGAACAACAAAACAATGTGAAATATGTGTTTGTCTTTTGAAATGCGGAGGAATAAAACAATGTTGAAGCAAAGTAGAGTTTTTTGAGAGTCCATTCATTATTTTTTTATTCTATGATTTTTAACTTATCTGATAATGTGTATGATGTGCTTGTATAATAACATACAAAATTTTGTGATATTAGCTGCACTACTGTTGTATTAGCAAGAACACAGAGTTATGCATCATTTGAGTGTTTGTCGTGGGTGTAAGAACATTAAAAATATTTGTGCCTCCATCTAATAGTACTGAATCATGTAGGCTACACAGACAGTTATTATTTTTGTGTTTATTATACTATTGGATTAATTACTTTCTACATACTATTAAAATACACTGTGTTTTCCATAATGTAATTTTAATTGCCTTATTCTAAGTAACATTTTTAGTTTTGATCATTCACGAGTGTCACATTTTTTTTGTATTTTTCAATGTCAAAGAGCAATGAAAAATTGTACATGTGATGTACTATGGAGCAGAAGTGCAACCGGTGAATGTTTCCTCATTGAGCTCATCCTACACTAGCTCTTGAACTACCTTGTATACTATATTTATTCTCTATTAAGTTGAATTATGAATACAGGTAGAAACAAGCATTGTTGAAAAGATTTGATAATAAGAAAATAATCACAATTAATCAAATGCAATCAATATTATTTGCAATTGTGAATGAGCTGCAAATTTTGGCTTGTATCTCTTAACATGCACTATGTGAAGGAATCAATTTACTGCTGCAAGAACATGAAGAATGATTATTTGAATAACTATTTTCCACATCGAGCTCAAGAAAGCGTTAACAGGTAGTGATGCTAAATTCATGCCCAGAAGAATAGAAAAAAGCCATCTTAGCATTTGCTCAAATGATCAAGGGAAACTGGACGAAACACCTGATCAACATGGGGATCATCGACCTGGAATTGTTACTTGTTACAGACATATTTAGAGTTGCACAGTTCAAGTGGTAACTACATGAAATATCATTGTTAAAATCAATATATCAATATATCAATATATATCAATATATATATATATATATCAATATA